CTTACATCCATGATGGCTCACTTTGCAGGTTTTGCCTGTTTCAAACTATACCCAAGTGGACTCCATTTTCAGACAAACTCTTCCCTCTTTGAATGTTAATTGTCATTGCAAGAACGGACACCCCCTACCCAACACATAAACACAACAAATGTATACTGGAAATTCATATACCAATTGTAAAACAAAAAAACATAAACCGAACTGATAAAAGAAATCAACGTGCAATAGACTCAAATATAAATGAAAAGGACATACATGTTTGCGCGGGATAAATTAAATCATGCCTGCCAACGTTTGGCAATGCTGGCAAAGTAAAACGAGTCTAATTATCGACATTTGTGTTGAAAGATGTGTAAAACACATAAAACATAAATAACCTAGTATACCTCAAACGTGCTGTCAGTAAGCTGGCATTTATATTCGTATACTAATATTTCTTCTTATGAAAATTATACTTCTGTGCTGACATGAATTATCATTGATTTATAAATTAACTGTTCACAAATCTTTTGAATTTTTGAAAAACTAAGGCTTTTCTACCTCACAAATAGATTACTTTAGCTGTATTTGGCAAAACATTTAGGAATTTTGGTCCTCAATGCTCTTCAACTTCGTACTTTATTTGGCCTTTTTAACTTTTTTAGACTCGAGCTTCACTGATGAGTCTTTTGTGGACGAAACGCGCGTTTGGCGTAATTACAAAATTTAATCCTGGTATCTATGATGAGTTTATTTACAACCACTGGGATAATGCCACTGCTGGTGGAGTTTCACTTCCCCGAGGGTATCACCAGCCCAGTAGTCAGCACTTCTGTGCTGACATTAATCATCATTGATATGGTCATATTTATAAATTAACTGTTAACAAAACTTTTGAATTATTGAAATACTAAGGCTTTTCTACCTCAGGAATAGAATACCTTAGCTGTATTTGGCCAAACTTTTAGGAATTTTGGTCCTCAATGCTCTTCAACTTCGTATTTTATTTAGCCTTTTTAACTTTTTTGGATTCGAGCGTCACTGATGAGTCTTTTGTAGACGAAACACGCGTCTGGCGTAAATACAAAATTTAATCCTGGTATCTATGATGAGTTAATTTATAGCGCCTTTCATTCAAAATGTTTTTAATTGTCATCTCCGGTAATGGTATAATTACGAAAAAACACAAATTCGGATACGGACTGTTATTTCGTAGAGTTAATTTGTTTTCAGTTCCACATATATTAAATGACTGGAAAACTATGAGTGAAATAATAGGACCATATTAACCACAATAAGTTGGGATGCTGGAAAACTTAATTTGGATAAAGCATTTTAATATTTCTACATTAAAAAGGATGAACTTAGGTGAAATTAAAAAAAAATCGAAGAAATTAAAATTAATACTTTTAGTCGAAAGATCATTAGTTAAGGAACAAAATAAGCTGAAAATATTGATAGGTAATCAATTGGGTTTAAAAAGATGGCTGACTCGGAAATGTACCTTATATTTGCATTGGTATTATTTGGGTCTCAAATAGAATGAAAAATATTAAGAATCTGCTTAAATTTGGTAAATTACCTTTTATGAGCTATTGAAGTCTTATACAAAAGAAAATGGGTGTTATGAGGCAACATTTTTTACCCTTTATAATAGGCAACTAAGGAGTCTGAACATCTGACACAAATTCCAAAACCTCACCTAAATTCATATTTAATTTGCTAAAATCAAGTATTTGTATACACAACATACAAATCCTTAGTCAAACTGAGTTGTAAGTTAATGATGGTATGCCTATTTATGGTCACTGATATAATAAACTGGCATTAAACAGCTCACAAATATCCCTGGAAACAGCATAAGTAACACAACTGTAAACCTTGTTAAAAATCAAATTTCACAGCTGTAATATTAACTTGGTGTAAAAATTACACGGCCTTTTTCACAACTGCAATAATGTGTTGAAAAAAGTCATGATCACATATAACTTTGAACTAATGGCTTAAATAGCAAAAACCAATACCACGACTTTTGCACAACTGCATTAGTTTTGTTGACACAAAATAATTAAAGAACTTTTCAGCTGTTCGTCGATATTTTCAAAACAATATAAAGGTCTTTTCACAACTGCATTAATTTGTTGAGAAGAATATCATGGCTTCTTCACGGGATATCAAAATTTTATCTTACCTAAAAAAGATTCCTGATCTTTTACGGGTTTTTGTCACGACCTTGTGATATTTCACAAACATTTCATGGCCTTTTCATGGGCTTTTTGTAACAGTAGTGAATGTTAATCATGTTTTGACGGAAATTACAACATGCAGTATTGGTTTCCAGTCACAAGTAATATAGGTATTTGTGGCTCTGCTGGTTGTCCGGATGAGCCTTTCAGGCTATTGTATCATAACTAAAAACATGAGTTTTTGGAATGTCGTTGAAATTATTTTTAGGAAGTTCAGTTGGCTTGGCAATTAACTGGTAATACAACTTATGTGTTGTTTTAAATGTATGATACTTTCACATGTGTCAGTAAACAACCATTAGAGGTAAGGAGGAGTGTAAAATAGATATATTTAATTATTTCTGAAAATAACCACGTGTACAATTATCAGAGCAAATGTCACATTAGTTTTGCGATTTCGACTAAGGTAGGGATAGTTCATTTTCAGCCGTGGCGTTGTCAGTTTATTATCGATCTATGAGTTTGACTGTCCCCCTCGTATCTTTCGCTTCTCCTTTATGACAGTCGCAACTTTGATAATATACATTACATGGAACAGATCAAATCTCAGGTAGTCTGTTCTGGATCGTAAGATTTTAACTAGAACTGATAGAGACATGACTTAACCAAGGCAGCCAATACTGTGTGAAAACCATTTACACTACAGCTGAAATTTTGAATGATGATTTGAATATTTTGAATTGTTATTACACGGGAGAATTATAAAATTATCCCTTTTAATTACAAAAATGCGAAAAACAAAACAAATCAACAATATCAAAATATCTAACTCTGATCTTGTAACAGCGATGTTGGATGTTGTAAATGACAGGCTTCTTTTAATATCAAAAGCTTAAGGTTGTAGGTGAAACAGGTGCAGAAGCTAAACGTCCACCATTACAAGAGGCTAAACGTAATTTGCTGAAGCAGATGAAAGGATAACAACTTTAGGAGAAGCAGCAGTTTCTTTTGAAATAGGACCATAAGAGTTTTTGTGATAATTTTATGTGATGATTTGTTATAAAGTTGTGTTGCTATTGATAAAAAGGCATAACTATTAATACAGAAAGTGGTTTAGAATTCAAGAGGTGTGGATAGATAATAATGTAAAAAGAAGATCAGATAATGTCGCTAAATTTTGTTAAAAAAGATTGTAACTATTTCTTCTAATGCAGAATTTTTTTTAAAGAAGGTCATGGGATTAGATTTTGAAATTATAGACACAAAGCACGATAGTATTTACACAGTGATCGGGGATGAGAGAAAACATAGTAACCAGATTCTCGTTAGTCATTTTCAGAATAATAGTCCTGTTAAATGAAATAAGGACAGTTCTCCTGTGCATATTCGTAAAAATTATGTATGAAGAACTTCATTCTGTCGTTAATTGAGACAATTTTGTACATGCAATTAGAAATCACTATAAAAGTAAAAAAGTCAGAAAAGACCAATTTTTGTCTGAATTTGCATGAATTTGTACTTGACATTTCTTCTTTGTCTGAAATATTTTAAAAATTTCTGACAAAGTCGAATTTGTCTTATACAACTCTTGATTTTTCTTGACAAATATCTTGACTGTATTAACATTGTCTAAAAATTTCTACACTCTTTCTTTATCATCTGATAAGTGTCGCGAATAATCTTGACATATTCCTGACATTCTAAATGATGTCTGAATATGTCTTGACACATTCTTGGCAGTCTTAAAGTTGTCTTAATATATCTTGACACATTATTGTCTTAAAGATGTGTTGACACTATCTCAACAGTATCAATTTCCCCTGAATTGTGTATAGACACATTTCTGACAGTTTTCTTTGCTCTGTTATACCCATTTCTATTATCGCTAATTTTAAACTAAACTTTGAATAATAAGTATACAATTTTATATTATATGAAGTCAGCATAAAAAAAATGTCATTATACTATTTATCGGCAATGTGTCTTAATGATATGTTGTAATGTCATTTTTATAAATTTAATGTTTGCAAAAGTAAGTCACACTAGTTGTTCGGTTGTATGAATGACGTCGCGTGCATTTTATTGTTACATTGATAAATTGATTTGGATGCACATGACAGTGCGACGTTAATTGCTCCACTACACGTGACGCCATTACCTGATGTTTTCGAGTTTTGTAGGATACAAAAGTCGAACAACATCATATTTATATGACATTAGAGATAATATAGGGCGAATTGCAACTCATTTAATGCTAAGTGGACATCATACACTGAAAAGTTATAATCATAAAATGACAAGTTAACATGATTAAAAAGACAAGTGCATATACTATAATGATGTTTCAACTCGTATAAATTAAGATTCTGATCATATCATAAAAAAAAAAAAACTTTTGAGAAAAACAAAAAACATCATTAGAAAGTATTTACGTTCCATAAAGACTAATGATGCCTGTTATTAGTATTGTATTACCCATTGCAAATCTATTGATAAATCTTTGTACATATAACATTAAATTGGAGCATGAGTTGAGATTATCCCTGTAAGGAAAAGATTAACCATCTGCTCGGACCAAGCAATAACATTTTATCGGTGTTAAACTTTCATTAATCGATTGCTAGAGAAAAATTAAGGAAAGCAAACAAACGGGATGACCTATTATATTGTACTATTGTTCGACTGTTACTGCATACACTAAAACACGTTTGAAAAATCTAGGTTGTTTTTGAAATTGTATTTAAGACATTATAACTGTTATTGTATATATTAATTTGAGTTGTATTGAAAACAAATTGAATCAAAGTTACATAAACAGTCCATTAAGTAACTCACCATTAAATAAAACAAGCCTGGCTTTGTCTTTGGTTGTATCTTTGAGACACAGTAACGATGTCATTGCGTAGTAGAATCGCATTAGCTGTACCAGTTTTGTATCGACTGTAAACGGCTGCCATGTGGGAGTTTTACTGGTAGGAAGTTTACAAATTCCGGCCGTTTGAATATCATTCATATTGTTTATTGTTTTCAACACAGGTGGGCATTCGCACAAACAGTAGTATACCTAAACAGATATAAAATATGTTAGAACAGAAATTCCAGAAATGTTAAGCCAAAAAATGGGTAAATTGAAAAAACTAACAAAACAAAACGCTCTAAAATATCAACCGAGGAAATGAACATATAGTTTTTGTTAGATGATATATGTTGATTTATTTTGTTTAAGACACTTTACGGAATCATGTCTCAATAGAAAGATAAACCATGAAGACATATCAACACTCAGTATATTTCCAAGGCTTATAAATTTGGTTTGCGTGACTATCGCACACGTGGTTAATTTGTCAAAATTCACATCACGAGAAAATGAAATGGTTTTATAGAGTCTTGCATGAATGTTACCAAACAAATTTAACAAACAAGTCATTAAATAATGGGCCCTTGAGCTTGGCTGTTAACTGAGAACCAGGACTTCAAATAATTGATCTACCAGAGGATATTAAGCATTTTTAATGTCAGTTTACTGTTTCTGATCTAGCGGATGGGACAATATGCGCAATTGTTTCTCCACAGGCGGTAATGGTAACGTTTTCTTCTGTAGTTCAGTCCATATCGTAAACTTAGATATGATGATGGCTCGTTTCGAAGCTGAGACGTTTTCACATTATATGTGGTTAAATTTTCGTGGTACAATATTACTTTTTCCGTAAATTAGCATATTTCGAAAATCCTTTGGTGATGCGTCTCCTCGTGGTAAAAATTCACTTTTTTAACACAATAAGTTCTTTCAAAATTGAATACTTTGAACACATTTGATAGCTCCATAGTTGTTACACATTTTGTCTATGTTTCTCTACTTTCTAAGTCAACACAAATGGATAAGCTCAGTCACTTGTTTAAAATAAAAACATGTCCAATATCACTACAAAGAGATTTTTTGTTTTCACACAACTTTTGAGTTCCTCATTTTTAGGCGCTTTAGGGATATTGACCATTTTTAAATCCATAGTTCAAATGTTTCCAAATATTCTTGTGTGATCCTCATTGTTATGACTTTCTGAATACATCTGTGTATTTTTGTCCATTTCTGAAAAAAAAAATTGTTTCAGCACTATAAGGCAATGACCCTTTTATCACTATATTTATTTATTCTGAAAACAATGTGTACGTATTATTAATTTCTTCCAGTATATCTTCACTAGTCATAATATGGACAAAACATCTGATAATAACCTTAAATTACAAAACACAACCCTGTTAAAGCATTTAAAAAAAGTCTGGTGCCTAAAAGTGCATTTTGACTGAAAAACTATATAAACATGAAGATTTCTTAAAAATAAAATTTAAAAAAAATACGTAATTTTATTTACCAGTGGAAATCGGGTATTTTTCATTGTCAAGAATCAGTCCGGTAGTGGAAATCGCGTATTTTTTATTGATATGCCTTAGCTGCTTTGACCAAGAAAAAATGAGGAGTTATAGTTTAACATATTTTATATAAAAAAAGAAGATGTGGTATGATTGCCAATGAGACCACTCTCCACAAGAGACCAAATAACACGGAAATTAACAACAATAGGTCAGCGTACGGCCTTCAACAATGAGCAAAGCGCATACCGCATAGTCAGCTATAAAAGGCCCCGAAATGACGAATGTTAACAAATCAAACGAGAAAACTAACGGCCTAATTTATGTACAAAAAATGAACGAAAAACTAATATGTAATACATCAACAAACGATAACCACTGAATAACAGGCTCCTGACTTGGGACAGGCACATGCATACCGAATGTGACGGGGTTAAACATGTTAGCGGGATCCCAACTAACCACCAAACCTTGGACAGTGGTGTAACAGTACAACATAAGAACGAACTATAAAAATCAGTTGAAAAAGGCTTAACTCATAAGATTGATACAAATAGAAATACATCAAACAAAAACACAGAGTGGACGTTGCAGGGTACAGTTGTTTTGTATTTGTATGGTGTTAACATATCCCAGTTGATACGTTATGCTCGTGCATGTTCACACTATACGGACTTCATATACAGGAGTCTGCTCTTTACGCAGAAACTGCTCCAACAAAGTTATGAGAAGGAACGATTAAAAATGACACTCCGTAAATTTTATGGACACCATCACAAATTGGTTGATCCATACGGTGTGTCTCTGTCTTAACTAACTAAGGACATTTTTACCACGTCGTAGATTGTTGTTTGCTATTTACGTCGTCTTGTCTTTTAAGTACCGAACGTGACCTATTCCCGAATTTGACTGTTTTGCTGAGTGTGATTTCGCATTACTATAAGACGTATCAGGGTACTTTGCTATCCAAAATTAATGTATTCAGTTATGATGTTGTATTTTGTAATTCTGATCGGGTATTGTTAAATGTGTTGTCGTTTGTGGTTGTAATTCTATTTTTTTAATATTCTCTTCGTATGTAAAAGTAAAGATAATTAATCACCCAGTTCATTTATAAGAATTTAGTTTAGGGCAACTTAAGAAATACCGACATAGCTAGATAAAACAACTAATTATCTAATTACTAACACAATTCTATATTAATAAAATTGTAATTGTTATATTATACATCAAATACCATAATTACTAACCTGATTTTGAACAATATCAAAATGTTTTTTGAAATTACCTGTGACGTCACTTTTGTAGCGATAGCATCGTGTGACAATGCAGGGTTTTTTTGTGTTGTTTTATGTGCTGTCCTAGGTTTTTTTACGTTTTTGTTTTTATTCTGTGGTTTGACATGAACATCACTTATATAGTCATGTTTATTAATTTATTGTTTGCAAAGGTACGAATTATTCTAAATACTTCGGTTTTCTTGTCCGTGGTATAGATAAAATTAGCCGTGTTTGGCACAACATTTTGGAATTTTTGGTCATCGGTGCTCTTCAACTTTGTACTTTTTTGGCCCTATTTTACTATTTTGATCTGGGTTCGGGGTGGGTCTTATGTAGACGAAGCGCACGTATGGTGTATTAGATTGTAGGACTGGTAGCCATAATAAAAATTAACATGTCGAAATGTTCTATTGTAATGTTTATTTGTGTATTTCTCTGTCCGTAATGTTCTTGCATTTATTTGTACTGTAGTCCTGTCATGTAATGTTATCATTTGAGTGTTGTATTAAACAATGCCATAAAAGCGGGAGGTTTAACTAGCCGCAAAACTAGGTTCAACCCACCATTTTTTATTAAAATGTCCTGTACCAAGTCAGGAAAATGGCAGTTGTTATCTTATAGTTCGTTTCTGTGTGTGTTGCATTGTCGTTTTGGTTTTTTGTGGCACTTCAGTGTTTCTGTTGTTTCATTGTTTTCCTCTTAGTTGATGTGTTTACCTCAGTTTTAGTTTGTAATCCGGATTATCCATGGACAATTGCATTGTCTATATTTACAGAAATGAAACCTATAACCGATTATAGATAATTATGAGAATGTAATCACAATCTAAAACGCATTGTTATCACAACAATTCCATTTCGTCGCACTTAAAAGAGTGCATCAAACAGCGTATAGAATACTCCACTGAAATCGTCCACTTGATACGGCAAAATGAAATAAAATGATATATTTTACATCAAACCGAGTTTCTGTTATTGTATTTCTTAAAACTAAATATACGAATAATGTGTGCGCACAATAAATTAGAAAGTTTGCACCTTTCAAGACCGGTTTTACTATCATGATTTAAATTTACATTCGCCATCAAAAAGAAACTTGTTGATGACAAAGATAATCAGAACTAACAGATATCTAAATACAACAGTATTCTTGTATAAGATGAAAATAAACTACTGTTTATAGAATTTGCTTGCCATTTTATTTTATCACAAGCTCTTCACCTCAATTAAAATTCATTGAACCAAAACAATATTAAATAAAAAGTAAATAATTTCTTCACAAAACATTATAAAAACGATTCAATAAAGATTTTAAGCTTTGAATAGGTACTTGTATGACAATTAACATGTCAGGTTAGGCAATTTCCCTGTGGATATATGGTGGAAACGATTCTGGAAGCTTGTGTTTTTTTACCTGAGCGTCACTGATAAGTTATATAGACGAAACACGCGTCTGGCGTATTGAATTATACGCCTGGTACCTTTGATAAATATTAGCATGTCTAAATATTCTATTGTATTGTTTATTTGTGTATTTATCTGTCCTGAATGTTTTTGTATTTATTTGTAATGTAGTCCTGTCATGTAATGTTGTCAGTTTAGTGTTAACTTAACATTGCCATAAAAGCGCGAGGTTTGACTAGCCACAAAACCAGCTACAACCCACAATTTTTTCTTAAAATGTCCTGTACCGAGTCAGGAAAATAGCAGTAATGTTGTAATCTTATAGTTCGTTTCTGTATGTGTATGTGCGCTATAAAACCAGGTTCAATCCACCATTTTCTACATTTGAAAATGCCTGTACCAAGTCAGGAATATGACAGATGTTGTCCATTCGTTTGATGTGTTTTATCATTTGATTTTGTCATTTGATTAGGGACTTTCCGATTTGAATTTTCCTCGGAGTTCAGTTTTTTTATAATTTTACTTTTTTTGCATTGTCTTTTGTTTTTTTGTTGCACTTCAGTGTTTCTGTTGTTTCTTTGATTGCCTCTTATAGATGATGTGTTTCCCTCAGTTTTAGTTTGTAACCGGGATTTGTTTTCACTCAATAGACTACTTTCGAGTTAATCCGTTCCGTCGAGTTTTCTTTGATTCTTTTGTACCTGGGTCACGTGATATCACTGATTTAAGGGGCATGTCTATTTCCGGTTTGTAGTGTTGACATTGGAAACATGGACAAATTGTAATTTAATGACATTCCAAAGTCTTACTGTGCAGCAGAGGGCTACAATGCCGACGCCAGGAAACGCGGGCGAAACATATTTATTGCAGGCATACTTTTTTCTCGTATCCTTCATCTGCTAAACCAGAAAGGAAGATGGATTGACTCGATTAGGCGTCGAGATAATTTTGATACTTGCAAGTATTCCCGTCATTTATTAAAGGGAAGCCAACGGTGCTGCTCCCTTATCCAA